CAATCTTAATGACAACAGATGGCCAGGTCTTTCGTGGAGCCTTGGGGGCGGGTTCGAACCGCCAACCTTTCTGTTATCAGTTAAGCACTAAATGGCTGTGTTTCCGGGGCTCTTTCAGAGTAAAGGTGGAACCTGTGTTTCATGAATGTGGGCAGTCATGAGTAAAATGGGGAGATAATTATAATTCTGATACTTCGATACCAGCTCACAATCATTTGATATCATCTCCTGGTCACTAGATCTTTGGAAGGGGACCCATGGCTTGGGTATATAATGGATTGTAAAATTCTGTAAACAAATCCGGAACTGAGAGAGCCACCCTTAGCTCTTAATAACTGAAACCAGAAAAACTTTCGGTTGGGGCTACAGCCATGAAAACCAGGTGGGGTACACTCCGGTGAGAAGGGAGGAGGATCTCATGAAGGAAGCGCTCATAGAACCCCAGAGCTCCGGATCTACCATTAGACCCAGAACATCAGTTTCCTGCATTCACAAGTGAAAAAATCATGATATTAAGGAAAATACCAGCTGACGAGTTAGGAATCTGGAGACTGGACTCCCTCGGCTACTACCCTGCCCTGGCATTGTGTAGAGGGCGGAGCTAAATAAAGCCCACCAGGCTCAGAAAGCAGCTCTTTCAGCGCGTGCGCGCACGCACACACACACACACACACACACACACACACACACACACACACACAGACCGGGAGACTACACATTTCTCCCTCTCTCTCTGTGTCCAGTCTTCATTTCTTTGCCTGGACATCGGGTGAGACAGTTTTCCCACTGTACACACAGAGGGAGCTTGCCGGTGACTTATGACGTTGCCCACGGACCCACAGATCCAAAAGTTCCCCAGCTGAACCCCTGGAATATGTTCCAGTGGCAGGCAACCTGTGCGGGTTCCCAGGCTGTGGGTCTGAGCAGGGGCGGGGTGCCTCGCCTTTGTCCCAGGTAGCAGTTTGGAGTTTCAAGCTAGTGTCCTTGTGATCCACAGCCACTGCGCTGCCTGAGCTCCCTGCGCAGGACCAATTCAAAGCAATCGGTAAAATCCCAGCATAACAGGACTCAACCATCCCGAGAATTACGCTGTGCACATGCAAATACCTAACTGACCTTCAGAGACAAAAATAGTGGACAATCTTTCTCCCATTAACTCCCCAACATCTACCTGCATACCTCTAAGGTAGTGACCACAGGAGGGGTCTGAGAAAGTGGTCACCCCCCACCTCCTGCTGGAGGCTTCTAATTGCACACACACTGACGGTGTAGCTTGGGACAGTGGACCACTGTTTCATTTCTGTTTCAAAGTGGTGCTTTTTGTCTATGTATTTATATTACTTCTGCTTTTGGTCCTTTTGATCACACATCTTTCCTGGAGATGGAAGCTTTTTCTCCCTACGTCACCTAAGAAGCAGCAGCAATCGTGGCCATATAGCTAAGCTATAAGAATACCCCATAATATTCTACCACTGAGACAAGACCCAACAATACCCGCAAAGCATTACATGTGAAAAGGGAAGCCTATCTCCTGATCATGTTCACCAGGAGACACCCAGTAAGCAAACAACTAATGTTCAAGAGTTCACTTATGCTTAAAAAATAAATAAATAAAATAACCATGCCAAATAAAAAGCAACGAACCTTATCAAAACATGTCCCAAAACAGAAGAGAGTAGCTGAAGCAAATGAGCTGGAGACAAACAAAGGCTTTCGAGATGAGGAAGAGCAGGTTTTGGATCTGCCTGAGAAAGAATTCAGAAGAATGACATGGAAACCAATTCAAATGCTCTGAAAAGGGGTGGAGGAAAACAAGGAAGAAGTCAGGAAAGTACTACAGGAGCAATCAAATAAGATTGCTACAGCATCGGAAACAATTCAAAACGTGCAGAAAGATGTCCAGATGATCAATAAATAAGATATCAGAAATGGACAATATGCTGAAAGGGGAAAGGAGCAGATTAGAAGAGACGGAAGCCAGAACTAGTAAGCTGGAGGACAAATCACTCTAGACTGCCAAGATAGAAGAGCAAGCAGATAAAAGGATAAAAAAAATCAGAAGATAGTCGACGATTTATGCTGGATACCATAAAGAGGAATAATGTAAGAATTATTGGCATTCCAGAACAGGAAGAATCAGAGACATCCACAGAGGAGATAGTTGAAGAGCTTCTGGAAGAAAATTTCCCTAACATTTTGATACATGAGAAGATAAACATTCAAGAAGCTGAATATACCCCAGGAAGGATAGACCCCAAAAGAAACTCATCAAGACATAATAATCAAGCTCTCCAAAATCAAAGACAAGTAAAGAATATTAAAAGCAGCCATGGAGAAGAGAAATGTCACTTATAAAGGCAAGCAAATTAGATTAAGCTCTGACTATTCAGAACAAATCATGCAGGCAAGAAGGCAATGGGGAGACATACACAAAGTCCTACAAGAAAAAAAACTGTCAACCAAGAATCGTCTAACCAGCAAAACTATCAATCAAATACGATGGTGCGATCAATACATTCCAGGATAAACAGAATCTGAGAGATTTTATCAAAACCAACCCAGCACTTCAAAACATCCTTAAAGGGACTTCTGTGGACGGAAAACCAACAAGAACAGACCACAAACAGAGATTGACAGGTGTGGCAACACCACCTGGAACTCAGTCAACAGATAACAGAGTCCAGAACAGAACAAAGACTACAACAACAAAGTCAAAGGAGCTGGGAGGTCAATCGAAGATCAAAATTCTATCGATGTCAAAGAAGGGACAAATGTAGCAACAGAGACCCAGGTGGTGAGGATGCCAGGTAAATTACAGGATACAATGGATTATTTTAAACGCAGAGAATAACTGAAACCAAATCCACCGCCATTGAATTGATTCCGTCCCACAGCGCCCCTAGGGGACAGAAGAAAACTGCTCCACAGGGTTTCCAACTGTGAGGACGGCACAAGACTGGGTAGAGTTTCTTTCTGTGTGCATAAGGCCACTATGAGTTGGAACTGACTTGATGGCATCTAACAGCAATACCAGACCCCCTTCATGGAAGGCTGCAGTCTTTATGAAGAAGGGTGCCTCATCTTTCTCTCGTGGAATGATGGTAGGTTCAAACCACTGACCTTTTGGTTAGTGGTAAGCGCTTTAACCGCTGCATTACCAGGGCTCCTTTAGTGTAATATTGTTATTGTTGTTAAGTGTCACAGAGGATTTCCAAGGAAGTGGCTGGTGGGTTTGAACCATCAACCTTGCCGTGAGCAATCCAGTGCTTACCCTGATGATAAAATTGTGGTCCACCTCTCAGGATGGTTTCCTTCTTGTGGACTTCCCTCTAGCATCAGGTGCTTCTGCAGCAAATACTAGAATCATGTCATAGACTCGCTTGCCAACAGAAAATGCATTTGGCTGATGATCCAATGGATGCAGGTTCCAGTCCACACAGAGGTGATGCAGAAGAAAGGACTGACAAGTTGCTTCTGAAAAACCAACCACTGAAAACCCTCTGGAGGACAGTTCCACTCTGGCACACGAAGGGGCACCATGAGTCAGGGTCGGCGTGATGGCAGCTGGTTTTATACTGAGTGGAAGAGCAGTCTTATTAAAACATTGGCACTGTCTGCCTAAGCAGCAGTGGAATGTGTAGGCGAGTTGTTCTCTTGTTGTTGTAATTTAATATCTCAACAAATGATTTCAGCATGAGATGGAACACCACTAATGAATAATTTTCTGTTGGGCAGGTTCCTTTCATCAATGCCAGACAGAACTCATGGGCGGAGGTTTCCCCAGCTGCTCACAGGAAATATTGTCCCACCAAACAGGAAGAGTGGGCTGGATCATTGATTTTCAGTGCATATACACCCAGAGTGGGAGCCATACGCCTGTGTTGTGGGCCCCCTGCACACACATTCTTTTAGCCATGCCATCAGAATCTCCCTGTCCAAAAAGGAATAAGGCAAGAGAGACCTTAAGTCTCTCTCCACATTTGATAACTCAAAGTTAGCAGAGGCCCATTGATTTTGCTCATTTTCTCTTCTCTTATATACAATTTCCGCACACCCCCGCAACCTCCATAAATTACAGAGTAAGAGGAAGGCAGAATATTGCACAGGACGCAGACGGACGAAAGGACAAAGGAAGCAGTCTGAGGAGAAATACAACCAGAATGCTCCTTAGAAGCCAGGATGCTCAGACTCGGTTCATTGACCACCGCTAGACCAGGACACTGTAGTCAGTGAAGTCGAGGGTCAGTGACAATGCAGGAGACCCCAGCTGAGCTGGGGAAACAGCAGCAATGGGCTCACAGAGACTAGACAGCATTTGTCCTGTTGTACATCAGGTCAAAGCTAACTCCATGGCAACACCTAACAACAGAACGAGCTCATCCGTGCTTGTGAGCCTGTAGCCATGGCTCCCTGAAAGGAATAGAATCCACCTCTTCATCAACACACACCTCCCAGTTTCAGTCCAGTCCCCTCCCTGGCATGCCGAGGGTCACCGTGGGCTGGTGAGAGCACCTACCTCAAGATGAAGAGGTCCACGGTGGAGTTGCTGGCGATGGTGACATAGACAGTGACCACGTCTCCTTGCCTGACTGGCCTTGATGGCAGCCAGATGACCACATTGCTGTCCAGGCGCAGCTCGCTCAGTTGGACGCTGTCCTGAGTTCGGTAGAGCCCAACGGTGCCAATCCTCTGCAGGTGGGAGGTGGTTTCACCTAGCCCATCCTTCCCCGGCCGGATGGCATTGCCCTTTCTGAGGTCGCTGCTGGCACAGTCTCCACGCCCGTCTGCCGGCTGCACGGCGTAGTAGAGCTCCACCGGGGTCCCCTCAGGCCGCTCAGTCACCTTCTTTCTCCCGGCCACCACGGTGGGGGCGCTGAACCAGCTGGGTAGCAGCTCCAGCTCGGCCACACACAGCCCAAGCGCCCCTCTCAGCTGGCAGCTGGCCCTGACCTCTCGAGTCTCCCGGAAGGCGAACACCCGAAGACAGGGCAGGTGCTCGGGGGCACTGTGGTCATCCCAGTCCCGGCCCACGATGTGGAACAGAACCTGCACTTTGGGCCGGCTCGGGTAGGCTCTGTCCTGAAGGACATAGGCCTTCAGCTTCCAGTTGAGCGGGCACTTGCTGGTGGGCCCGAAGGGGTTGGAGGGCAGCATCAGTTCCTGAGGCACCACCTGCTGCACAGAGAAGGGCCCGTAGCTGGCGTTTAATATCGGGGCCCGCTTGGTTTTGTAGGTAAAGAAGGTCTCAACTCTGGACTGTAGGCTGGAGTTGCCGGTGAAGTCCTGGGTAGTATCCTTCAGGAAGAAGGTGGTCTCAGCTCTGAGGACGTGGTAGCTCACAGGGAGGTAAGGTGGCAGCGAGGAGAATCTCTGGATGCTGTCTGAGACCCCGTGGCCCTCTATCACTGAAGGGGAAGGAGAAAAAAGACAAAGATGTAGTTATCCATGGGGTTCTTAGGAAAGGAATTCTGAACTCCACTTGAGTGGGATTTCCATATTCCTTCTGGGACCAGAAAGTAAATGGTGCTACATGGTCCATGAATTACAGACTTGCAATAGTCTATACTGTACAAGACTGACATTTGTGCAGGTTCAGGGGTTTGAAGACCTCTTGTTTCATGTAGTCCATCCTAACAGAAAGCTGGCCAGTTACCCATGAGAGAAGAGTGGACATCTGTGTAAAAGTGTGTATGAGTTTCAAATGCATCTCATCGTATAGATGCATGGATAGACAAACAGACCAAGGCAACAGAGGAAAGTATATGAGTAAAGCTGAGCAAATAAGAAATTCAGACGGTGATGAAGACGACAAAATCATGAGGTAAGGATAGCTTTTTAACTAATAGTGCTGGAACAACAGGTTTATTATTATTATTTAAAAAAAAATAAAATCGGGTCCATATCTCACACCATATACAAGAATAAGCTCCAAATATCAGAAAAGGAAGTCTTTTCAATACTATAATACAATGTAGATGAATCCCTCTGGTATCAGAGTATAAAGAAAAGTTTCCAATTGTGAGTCAAAATCTAAGCGCAATTTTTTTTTAAAGTGATCAATGCGTCCGTAAGCTATTTTGTTAAAAGACAGCATCGGGAGGGCCCAGTCCCTGGAGAAAGAAACCATGCTTGGTAAAGTGGAGAGACGGTGAAAGAGATGAAGACCCCAAATGAGACGGATCGACACAGTGGCAGCAGTAATGTATTCATTGTGAGGATGGTGCAGGGTGGGGCAGGGTTTTGTTCTGTTGTGCACAAGGTCACTACGAATCACAACCAATGTGACATCACTTAACAACAACAATAACAACACCCTGTTGGTGAGGTTACAGGCAACAGACACCTTTGCATATTCTGCTAAAAATAAAAACAGCCCAACCCTGTGGTAGGGAATTTAGTAACAGTTACTAAAAGTACATAAGCATGTGTCTTTCATTCAACAGTCCTGTGTCTAAGAATTTACCCCAGCAAGTCAGAAATATACAAGGTGATCCATTGCCGCATTGCTTTTAACTGCTATATAGTCCACACAGCCTCTTGTTGTCAGGTACCATCAAGCTGGTTCCAACTCATAGAGACCCTGTATAGGGTTTCCGAGGAGCAGCTGGTAGGTTTAAACCACCAACCTTGTGGTTAGCAGTCCAGTGCTTACCCTAAAGTGCCACATAAACTCCTACAGACCAGTCGTGTTGTTGTTAAGTGCCGTCAAGTCGGTCCAGGTAGTGACCAGGTATAGGATTTCCAAGTAGCGGCTGGTGAACCGGAACCACTAACCTTGCTGTTCAAACTGAGCTTGTGGTCCAGTGCTTATCCTACATTGTGATACCAGGTGTCCACCGAGCAGCCTACATGCCCATATACAGTAAAAATAATGCACAAAACAGCAGCAAAAAACGAAACTTGGAGATAGTGCGGGGTCTATCATAGCCAACGACTCTGACAGAAGTCCCAGACAGAGCAGGGAAAACAGAACACAATTCACATTCCTGAAAAAGGCCAGACTTAGCCGTGTGATACAGGCTGCTGGACGGCCCTGAGACTGTGGCCCTTAGAGACCTCTGAAGGATCACCGGGCAGCCAAGCGACCCACAGGGGACGAGCAGAACATCAGGGAGGAGCTGGCTTCAAAGATACAAGACCAAAAGGGCAGCACTTACCTAACAGTAAACTTCCCAAGTCAGGCAGGGGCAGGAAAACTGGATGAATAGAAACAGGGAGCTCAAGGAGGAAGTGGGGAGAAAGCCAACACACTGAGGGGACCGCAAACACCGCCCCCAAATGGTCCACGCATACACTGCTGAATGGAAAACGAAATTGCTTTGCAATCTTTCATCTAAACCGCAGTAGAAATCCACACCAAACCCGCTGCCAATGAGTCCAGTCTGACTTGGACCACAGAGAACTGCTCCACAGGGTTACTGTGGCTTTAAACCTTCATGGAAACACACCACCTTCTCTTCCTTCCATGGAGGAGTTGGTGGGTTTGAACCATCAACCTTCAGCTTAGCAGCCCAACACTGAACCCATTGCGCCACCTAGTATCCTTTAAACTACAAAACATTGAAAAGGAAGAAAGAAATAACATTTAATTCGTTAATTTATCTAATTAAATTGTCTTAAAAAAGAAAATAGAATGGGACTGGCCTCTGTGAATGGCATGGAGTGATTTCCAGAACATACTGTTATTAATCAACAAAGGTCTTATCTTGTAGCTACAAACAGACCTCATCATTCATAGCTGGGGAAGAACTGTCTTGTGGTTGTTCTAATTCATAGCGACCCAAAGGACAGCAGAAGGAAACCTTGTCTGGTCCTACACAATGCTCACAATTAAGATTGAGTCTGTAATTGCAGACATTGTGCCAATCCATATCATTAGGGCTCTTCCTGTCTTTCTCTGATCAAGCATGATGGCCTTCTCCGAGGACTGTTCTCCCGCCCGATCACATGCCCAAAGTGCATCAGATGAAGTTTCACCATATTCTTTGCTAAGGGGCGTTCTGGCTATACAATTTGCAAGACAGATTTGTTTATTCTTGTGGCTTTGTTGCTGTTAAATACCAGAGTCGGTTACAACTCATAGTGACTGTGTATAGGGTTCCTGAGAAACGGCTGGTGGATTTGAACTGATCCTAGAGTGCCATATCAGGACTTCTGGTAGTTCATGGAATATCTGCTATTCATCAACACCATAATTGAAAGGCATCAAGCGTTCTCCAGTCTTCCTAATTCATCTTCCAGGACTGATGGAATGAAATGAATAGGTCAAGCTGAAAAGCACACCCCACATTCTCCACAGGATGGAAACGTTGTTCCAATGCTACTGGGTCTGAGTTACCACCCAGGAGCTTGATTTCACTTGGATTTAGCTCTCTGGGTGGCCAGCACGAATGGGTGATTTAATGGTATGTCCTCTGTCCTCCAAGGTGTTCAGAATCACATGCTGCACACAGCTCATCAAGAGGCATGGGGCTCTACCCAACCTGAAGGTGGACCTCTCTGGCCTGCACTATTCTCAAAGACCTTCCTTCATGAGTTAGAGCCCAATTTCAAAACACAAGCAATGGTATTCCCAACTTCTTTTGAAAACTCTCTCATGAACAAATTGTTTTCCACTTTGAACTTTTTTGTTGTTACGGTTTGTTTTCAGTAACGGAATGTGTGCTGCAATCAAGGCCACACCTCAACTGTTTGAGGCAATATGGATTTTGATACAATATGTGCGACGCATAAGGCTCACAGGAGTCTGACGACGGTTAATATTGGTGGGATGACGTTGGTTTCTTTAGCTTCACAAAGCTATACACGGGTCCCCACCAGGCAGTAACACATACTAAGAGAGGACTTCAAAAAGTTGATGGAAAATTTTCATGATTTTTTTATTCTATTGTCCTATAAACATCTCTAAGCAGTCTCATATAGCTGGGATAAGCGTGTCCCAAGAAACCTTAGAGGTCGAAAATATTGGTGGGTGAAACACATCCCACTGATCATGAGAAGGTTAAATATGGAAGGAAGTTGCAACACTTCAACTTCACCCCCCACTCCACTTGGCAACCATAGATGCTAGTACCTAGAGCTAGTTGTTCCTCTACTCTCAACCCACACTCCTCAATGTGACTTCCTGACCATTGGATATATTTGAGGGTGACTCCTGATTCAGAACCTCTCAGCCACTCAAGTCAACGTATTCTGGGGCTGAGACAGAAAACCACAGTGAGATACCCCTCATCCTGTCTTTCTTATCCAATTGATCCATCAACAGAAGCCCACCCAGCAGCTCCAGCCTTGAGAATGGTGTCTTAAGATTCCCTGTGAGTTTTCACTTATGTGTTTGGGAACTCCACTAACAACTGGTTACTCTGGCCATGGACAGACCCAATGTTGGTGACTAACCAGGCATGTGGACCTTGGACATAACTCTTAATTTCGTGAGGCTACAGTTTCTATAGAAAGAGAGGATGAATGGATGGATAGATGTGATGGATAGATAGATGTGATGGATAAATGGATGGAGGAATGATGAATGAATGGGTGGGTGGGGGATGGATGGATGGATGGATGGGTGGGTGGATGGGTGGATAGATAGACAGACTGCTGTTATTAAGTACCATCAAGTTGGTTCCAACTCATAGTGACCCTACGCACAGCAGAACAAAACATTGCCTGCTCCTTTGCCTTCCTCACCATTGTTGCTACATTAGAGCCCATTGCTGCTGCCATTGTGTGAAGCCATCTTCTTGGGGGTCCCCCTCTGATCTCCACATTACCGAACATGATGTCCTTCTCCTGGGACTAGTCCTCCTGAGAGCATGTCTCAAGATGACAGATGAAGTCTCATCATCCTGGCTTCTAAAGAACATTCTGGCTATACTTTTTTCTATGATAGATTAGTTTGTTCTTCTGAAAGTTTATGATCTTTTTAGTAATCTTCTCCAACACCATAACTTAAAAACATCAATTCTTCTATGATCTTCCTTATTCATTTTCTACCTTTCACATGCATATGAGGCTATTGAAAATACCATGGCTTGGGTCAGGCGTACTTTAGTCCTCAAACTGATCTTTGCTCCTCAATACTTTAAAGACATTTTCTTCAGCAGATTTGCCTAATGCAACATCATTGGATTTCTTAATTGTTGCTTCACTGAGTTTTCATGGCAGTTCCAAGAAAAACGCAAGCTATGCCAGCTTCAATCTTTTCTGCATTTATGATGATGTTATTTACTGGTCAAATTGTAAGGATTTTTGTTTTCTTTACATTAAGTACAATCTATAATGGATTTTAAGAATTTTAAGTTCTCTTTGTATCAGTAAGCAAGGTTGTGTCATCTACATATTTCATGTTGCTAATGATTCTTCTTCCAATCCCGATGCCATATGTTTCTTCACAAAAACCATTTGCTCAGCATAAATGTTGAATAAGTGTGGTGAATGGGTACAACCCTGGGGCACAACCTTTCCTAGTTAAAACTATTCAATATCCTTTTGTTTTGTTCTAACTACTGACTCTTGGTCTATGTACTCGGTCTATGGATAGATGGATAGATAGATAGATAGATAGATAGATAGATAGATAGATAGATAGATAGATAGATAGAAGTATAGATAGATGATAGATAGATAGAT